GAGAGAGAAAGAGAGAGAGAAAGAGGGGGAGGGAGGGAAAGAGGGAGAGGGAGAGAGGGGGGAGAGAGGGAAAGAGAGGGGGGGAAGTGAAATGCAAAGCCAGAGAGACAGACACGTAGAAAATAATTTAAAATCATTATAAATAGCGCAAATCCACGCATCCACGCCCTGCAGCAGGCATGGAGAAGCATCAAGTCCAAGTGAAGGGCCTGATTAAGGGATTCCAATGCTGTATCTTGTGCCCAAAAACAGAACATTGGGAGAGATTGGTGGAAAACTCAAGCTCTCAAAAATTAGACTGAAACCAATACCATAACATTGCCACTCAAGTGCAACGTTTGCACACTACGTGAAATTTTCTAGTTTGAATGAATTTGAACCATGGTAACTTTTTAATTTATTGTCCGATTCTAATAATGATTTAAGCTGAGAATTTCATCGTTTCTACAGTTCTTTCTGATCCAGTGAAGAAAATCTACTTAGGTGATTAAAAAATTTTGGGCGGTACCTACTACAATTTAGACCAGTAACTATTAGCTTTTTCAAGTTTCATTTTTACATCAACTCACCACATGCCAGATTTGTTTTGAATGACAGGGTCAACTCATGAGCTGGACTAAAATGGGTCCTGGGCCAGATGTGGCCCACATGCTGTAGAGTGCCCATGTCTGTTCTATGCTCTTCTTTATGGCCATTATGACCCCAGTAGACCCTAGAATACCATTTAGAAACATTCTTGGTTTCCAAGGAGGGCATACAGTGCAAGCTATGGATTACGCGCACTAAAACATTACATGTAACAAACTGACAATACCATTTGCCATTCATAGCAGCTGGATACCCCTTTCCATTTAGGTGGGGGCGCGGAAAATCCAAGGACATAACGTCAAGCCCCTAACGGATTGTGAACCCAAGACCTTCCTTATGATTAAAAGTTCGAGCATCTGTGGGAGACAGAGCATGCAGGGGGAGATGAGGCTAGAAAGAGAGAGAAGGGGTTAAGAGAGATGGGAAATAAGGGGAGGGGGGGGAGAGAGAGAGAGAGAGAGGACGTAGAAAGAAAGAGAGAGAGAGAGAGAGAGAGAGAGAGAGAGAGAGAGAGAGAGAGAGAGAGAGAGAGAGAGAGAGAGAGAGAGAGATTTCTTTAATTGTAAATGTTTAAAGCTGTGGCGTGGCTCTCCAAGCGCAAATGGCGCCACCCTTTGAAATGGAGAAGGAATTTTTTTTAAGGGAATACGATTTTCCAAAACTTAACTAAATGTCACAATATTTTTTTCAAACAAATCTCTTATTCAGTGTTCATCCCTAAGTATGCCGGTCTTTTGTTAAGGTGTATATAATTCGGCTAGTGGGAGGAGGGCGGGTAAGCCTCCCGTTGCCGGTCGCAAGGGTCTCCCCGCGTCTTTCGTTCCCTACGTTTGACGTCACCGAGGGCGCCAAGCCCAGATCGGCGCTACCTGAACCAGTGTCTCTGCCTGAACCCATCTGAATGTTCATTGTTTAGGTGTGAAGTCAGGTCAAAATAATTCAAAATGATCTATAAACTATTTGATTCAATCAGTTGAAAACAGGGTTTTCTTTCCAAGAATAGCCAAAAAAAATTTTTAATACCCCATCCAGACATTTGACGGAAGACACAAGAGATATCACCAAGAACATAACTCAGCCAAAAATGCTACAACAGGTACATAATACATGTACTCCCATCACACTAAGAGATTGTACTGTTGGGCCAAAGGGCCGAGATGGATTTGGCGCCTGTATGGTAGGGAGGGGATGGAGTGGTAGTTAGCCTGGACATGGCATCGTTGCGAACTGTCTAAAAATATGTTTTATTGTCTGCTTTCTATAAAACCAGAACTGCACGTGAATCAGGGAATGGGGTCATTATGTCAAGACGCCCCGAGGGCAATAGTGCATGCGTGTTCTAGACTGTGAATGTGTGCTTTTCTGTTGATCTGTGGGAAGTTGTTTTGAGTGTGAACAATTAAAATTTGATGTGATGTGATTGTGCACATCTTCAGAGCTGAACTTGGTTCTTTATCATTGGTTCTCTATATAAAATATTGTACCGGCACATATCTATTCTTCTCGCGTGGAAGTGGGTGTCCCTTTGCCTTTATCAGTATCAAAATTAAACAAAGAGGCGCAAAGTAGGTCTACTGTTTATAGGCCTGTGGTAAGTAGGAAATACTATTCGTTGATCATAGATTTGTTCTTGGCGCCACCTTCTGTGGAAGTGACGCCACGCCCCTGGTTTTAAGTCCCCGTCAACACAATTTAGACCATTCAGGAGGCAGACATTAACCTTGCTTGAACTTATCACACCCCCTTATCACTAACACTAACATCGTTAGGAGACAGTTTGCAACCCCCATGCCTATTTTATTAGGTTGGTACACCTATGACATATATCTATTTGGTTTCAGCATCAACCATCCCTCCCCCAGTGCAGCGAAAGCACAATCTAGCCATGCAAAGATATTCCATCACTCAGTATTTTTAATTCATTGCAAACCAACCTATGAATGAATGCCTAGTCTGCAACCCAAACATTGAAAAAATATAAAAATCACATATATACTGTCACTGTGTAGTTTTCTCCACTGGCAAAACTCATGATGCCTTCATGTCATTTGAAAAACAAATACTGTAAGGCACAGATTATAACACAAACACACAAACCTCAAAATCACAGATAGTTTATACATTTTGCCATCCCTCAACTAATATTACGTGTACTTTAATTTTTCATTATCAGTTGACCAAAAATATGGATGGGTTGAGCACATTAGTCAATCCACGATGTGTTTGAGTTAACCATGCCCGACTGTACTATGCAAAAAAATAGGGGGGGGGGGGGGGGGGGGGGAAGATTTGTTCACCAAAACAACTGATCACAATAAGTGAGAATTCATTTTATGAGAGTTTATTACAAGTGGATTACATTCTACAGTTTCAACATTTTTGAATGTTGTATCACTTCTATAATGTGAAATGTCACTGCAGAAGCCTCTGTTGACACTAGGTTTGTTTCTGGTCACATTCTAGCAGTCTAGCCATATGTGAAGCATCGTGGTGAAATCAGGCGCTCGTCAAAGAAACCGCCATTTTTCTGGCCGTTGGGCAATTAAAACTTATTTTTTTTTTACTCAACACCTTTTATTTCTCTTTAAAAAACACACTTCTGTGTGGATTTTACTGAAAAACGTTGATCAAAGGCCTAAAAATTGTAAATGTGAAGTTTTCAAGGACCCACAAACTTTGGAAGTCACCAAACTTTGGCAGCATTTTCATGCTAATTTTACCGCTAGCACCCGTTGACCCGTCTCCTTCAAATGCAAATAATATATCAACTTCTATTCAAGACATGGGTATTTTTTCATTGAAAGCAAGACAAATTAACAAGCTTTAAGATGGCACCAATAACTCAATACACTCCAAAAATTGACGAGCAACTGATTCCACCGCGTCGTGACACATGCAATATTTAGTGACCACAGCGTTGCACTCAGAGCATCATATCCTTGAGGACAGAGGAGGCCAGCCACACAGGGGAGCCATTGGAGCCTGGTGAGCTGACCTGACACAGTGGGGAGCGAGGAGCAAGGCCAGTGCACTCATCAACATGCAGGTTTACTCCTGCTTGCTCATGGCTGCTGAGGAAGTCATGAGCCTGTCTCTGGAAACGAAAAAAACATAACGTTTGAAGTTAAGAAATAAGTCCAATATAAAAACTGCAGGGAAATACTTTTTCTCCACTGCATCAAATTTCTACACTTAATAAATAATGTTCATACCGGAAGCAAAAATGAATTTTTCATGAGGTCATTGCCCAACATATCAAAGCTATAATACCGAGAGTCCCTGAATAATTAGATTAAATTGACAATGTTATGACAAGTTTTCAGCCTAAAATATACAGTTCCTATTCCTACATAATGAATCATTAAATAGGTGAGTAACCATGTCCAGAAAAAAAAGCCACACCTGCATTAAGCCTAGTTTACCTGGGTGCAGTCTCGCACAATAAATTGCCTGTGACTACGATGAGCCAAGAAAGATGTCAAGAGAGAGGGTTTTTTTAAAAAAAACTGTGTAAGTGAAAACGAACAAGTAAAAGGACTATTTTTGTTTAACAAAGATTTACTTCAACATCATTAAATTATGTACATTAATTCAAATCTAAAGATAAATATAAATCAAAAGTGGAAATGTGAAAATCTAGGGAAAATTTACAGCAACATTTACATAAAACTTGAAAAGCACACTCAGGACATCAAGAGAGTCTGCCACTTTTTAAGATTCACAGAAAGCAAATTTCAGTCTCCTTTTACATGTAAAAATATAGATCTAATATTCTACCTTCAATGGCACCACAGACAGAAAACCCCGAAAGTTGCATATATTTTTTTGCAGTACAAAGTGTTGGCAACACAAACTCATAGTTGTAGCCTACTTGTACTCCAATCCACTTCCTGGGAAATTCTTTCCCCTGATTTGGAATGATATTCACCCTATCCTGTGACCCATGTCCTTTCTATGCATTTGATTTTTTTGCTTCTTTATAATGTCATTTGTTACTACTTCTCAGCAAAAATACAATGCAATGATTGTCTTCCAGCACGTTTATGATTAAGGTAGTTCATCCCGAAACTTTTTTATCTCGAGTATCTAATTCACATAAAATCAAGGAGGAGGAGGAAAACAGAATAGCAACATCATCAACAACAAAAATAATTGCATTATATAGCACATCCATGCTCTACAGAATGCCATGTGCGTTTTACAGCTATTATTACCCCAGCAGACCCTAGAACACTCAGAAATATTCTTAACTTCCCGGAAAGCATACAGTGTTTAGTTTTAGTAAGTGTTTTACTGCACGTGCAACACAATCAGATCATATAAGTGCCGAAACCCCCCGGGGCAGTGCCACTGACTGTTGTGTCTTTAGGCCATTCCCAAAGGGGGGACATTTCTTGTTCAAGCATAGTAAAATTGTAAATGGGCTAATTCATGTCACGCTCATAACTGTGCCAGATCTACAACAGGGAACTGCTGCTTTTTCTTTCCTGATCCTTACTATTGTCATTTTCCTTTATTTCTTTTGTAAGTTTGTCACTCTCTTGTGACCTGCTATTTCCGGGGTGCTTTGATAGTCGAAGTAGACCTTGTGCTGTTGAAGCTAGAGAGGTGAGTAGTTGTCTAAGTCTGGTTCCCTGTAAAGACTTCTCTGTTGACCCCCATCCCTTGGCGCTCATATGACCTTATGCAGTTGCGAGCACCGAAAAACCCTCTACTATAACAAAAAAATAAGTGCTGAAGATTAGAGGTGCTACAAGAGAGTAACAAACACAAAAAAAGAAGGAGGGGAAATAAAGACGATTGACATTTGATAGGAAAGAAAAAGCAAACCACACCAGAGCACCCACCAACCACCCACTAGACAAGCATACAGTGTCAGCTGCAGATTACATGCACTAAAACAATAACAACCTGACAAGATCTTTTGCTGTCTATAGCCAGGCACTCTTTCCTACCTGGGTGAAGTGAGGAACATTTGTGTATAGTCCCTTTCCCAAAGACACAATGTCACACCCACGATGGGATTTGAACTCAAGACCTTATGGTTGTGAGTTTGAGAGCCTAAACACAAGGCCACTGACGCCGGATGACAACTTTTCAGTCACGGGGGGATCCAACCAGATCTTTCACCGAAATCATTAGACGTACATTATGATCATAAAGTCTTGAAGTTCCTCTAGAATAGGAATCAGTCAACTTCTATTGAATACCACAATAAGATGAGATATTGAAAAGCCTGTCAAGTCTCATTAAACTGAGCTTTAACAAAAAATTCATACGGCATTCATATGAAAAGGCTAAAAATAATTCCAAACATTCCCAAGTACCTGCAGATCCACCTGATGGTTGCGAAGTTCTGACATGTACCAAGGCTTGTGGGACCAGCAATTATCAGAGGTGTTAATAGGTCGAGAATCTTGACCGTCTGGACCTATATTCTGGTGAATGTAATAGATATTATACAAAATCAAAGACAAAAGCAGTAGATAAGAACTTCAAGTCAACTACATCAAGTTAGTCAAGCATTATTATTAGCACAGATGTGCTAACATAATATAATAAAAAGACAATTTTTAAAAAAAGTTTTTTTTGTTAGTGCAACAAAGCTAAGGACTAGGCACAACAGATTCACCAAATTACTGGCCTTTAAGGTGTAGATTACAATTACTCATGCAAGACTGTCATCATTTCAGTCTTAATTACTCTTCACTGCTATCCTTATATCACAATAATAGACAAGCACATCTGACTTCTGCTAATACAAGTAATCAGTCAAAATCAGAAAGACGATTGTCATGACCAGCAGAGTCCAGATGATAATTACAACACCTCTATACAGCTCTGTCAACATCCATTGAAAAGATTCAAGAGCCATGTACTGTCCACCTAGTCAAAATATACAAAAGTTGAACCTTCCAAACAGGCTTAAATTGACATCTACTTCCATCTCTTCCATTAAATAACACATTTAGAGACTGGATCTTTGTACAAATTTTAGTTTCCTGTACAATTTATATATACTGCTTGTGTTTTCCGCTTCTTACAGAGAAGAATTTCTTTCTCATTATATTTCAATATTTCAAAGAAACTTGGACTTGGATTAAACCTTTCTAAAAGCAACTGACTTCTATTACTGAAATTTACAGACACAGAGTCAGATGCAAACTTAAAAGACTACTTCATGAAATGAATAAATATTAACCTGAATAACCAAACTATTCCTAAAATCCAGAACAGTAATTCTGTATCAGAATTATCAAAAAGCCTGCACTTCAACATCTGAAAAAGACAAGCAAAATAAACTTCCCAATCTCCCAATCTCTTGCAATCTTTCTAGTTTGTAGAGATGTCAAGGTAGGCCTACCATCCTTATAAGTTGAGGAGCTTTCAAACCCTCACGATTACCAAATTTATTATTTTTTAAAGAAAAAACTTCGTACAGGAGCACAAAATTGATAAAGTATAAAAATGGGACGGGGGGTGTTAACTTTCATTACCGGAAAAGAGAAAATTCTGGACCCTGCATTGTCTGCATACAAGTTAGAGCAAGGCCTCTGGCACGCTGCATGAAGAGCTGTCTGCAGTTTATGTCGAGAATTAGCAAGTCCATGCATGCGGCTAGTCGAGTGTCTCTGACATTTCCCCACAGGATTATGGTCGGTCCGAGTCTCAGGAATGTTGCCTGTGTATGCCAAAGGCACGCATCCAGAGTCATGAAGTTGGTGGCATTGGTTAAACTTTTGCCAGTGATGCAGTGGGCACAGACAGTGATGATCACAGCAGTCCTCTTTCTCTAATGAGATGGATGGGTCAGATTGGCTGCTGACAAATGTTCTTGGGGCACCATGGGACACCACACTGTAAGCAAGTGCAACAGCATAAGGGCATATTCACACACATGTACATGAAAGAGAATCAAGTGAAGCTGACAATTATAACAATATAATATGTAACGAGATACAGAAAGGAAAATAAATTCTTATAGTTTAAAAAAGTAGATCTTTTGAACATTGGTTCATTGTCACATACAAGCATTGTTTTAGTGATGATTTACGGCACTCGCAACTGCATAAGGTCACATGAGCGCCAAGGGGAGGATGTCAACAGAGAAATCCAAACGGGGAATCAGGCTTACTCTGTTCACTTCTCTAGCCTCAACAGAACAAAGTCAGCTTCGACTATCAAGGCACCCTGGAAATAGCAGTTCACAAGAGAGTGACAAATATACATAAAAAGAAGTAGTGGAAAAATGACGATAGTAAGGATGAGGGGAAAAAAAGCAAGTTTCTCCTATGTTGTTCCGGCACAGTATGAGCATGACATTGATAAATCAGCCAATTTACAATTCTACTGTCCATAAGAACATGTTTATATCCCCCCTTTGGGGACGGCCTATGGTAACCCAAAAGAGGTTGAAAAACAGATTTTTACAGTCTTCAATTTCCGTTCACAGAAATACAGCAAGTTTCATAAATATAACTTGTATTCTTGCAAAGCAACACAGATGTCTTGCCACTATTGTTGGTCTATGGAAACATTCCTGCTTGTGAAAGAAAAAATCTACTTTGTGCAAGACTATCTTCCATATGAGACAGGCTCTCATCTCTTAATTTTCAGCTGAACTGATCAAAAACACTAGATAGTGTCAGTACAGTACTAGAAAGATCAATAGACAATGGTACTGTTTTGCATATAAAAAGAAATATGTTGTTAAGTAAACAAGAAAGTCAGACGACAAAATACTTCTTCCCCATGCTTTTGTCTACCACTTGAACAACAGAAATCACAAAGTGGGCCGGTCCGTACAACTGTGAGTTTTGAATCCTATGTTTTTACACCGTTAACTCTTTATCTCTGACAAGCCACTCCCAGGTGACAGCAGCTTGGGCACATTCCTTTACGATGACTTACGACATCAAATTACTCTTTGGTAATTGCCCAAAACAGGTCTCTTTAATCGGGAGTTCATTCATTAGATGAAAAACAGTCAAAATTAGTTTACCTGTTTTGATTTAATGACCAATTTAGTGACAATATGTCAATTTCAGATTTCGTACCAAAATAGGGCACCGGCATAGTGGGTTTACCCCCCTCGGAGATAAAGAGTTAAAATAAAATCTGAAGTTTAAAACAAGGTCTATCACTCCAAATATTCTACGTAAGCTTTTAAACTTTTAAATCCATAAACTTCAATAATGCACCACTGAACTACATAAATATATTTTCAGGACATCTCAGAAGTTACAAAAGAGAAGTTACACTTACAATTGACAGGCAGCATGCCTACTTTACAGGGTGAATAAAAGGGATGCTGTGTTCAAGTTAAAAATTCAGAATTATTTTGCAAAAATCAAGCCATCATGCGTGGAGCCCTTCGGCCTGTGGAAGTGGCGTAACACATAATGATTTATTAGCTGCCCCCCCCCAAGGTCAGAGAGATCAAACTGGCCACAAATAAATGTGCTTCTCAGGGGGGTGAGACTGGGCCACTACGGACATGGGCACTAAATTACTAGATCTGGTACAAAGAGGCAATCAAACATGTGTTTCAACACCGTCTCCACGAGATACAGCTAAACCAAGTCCAGTAAATTAACGATAATGAGACCTGAATCAACCAAAGCTACAGTTGGAGACTGCCAGGTACTGGAATGACTAAATGAGTTGAGTCAAGGACTGAAGGAGTGCAGAAATCTCATAATGCATAAAATTTGTTCAGTATGTTACTCTTACAAAAAATTCTTAGATTTTCTGTTGTCTACTAACTACTATGGAAGTAAAGATATTCAAAGGTAAAAAAGAAGTATTTGACCATTGATTGAGATAATCTGTAAAATCCAGCCACCGATCCATAAAAACTACCTGCCATGGACACATGGAAGACAAGTTCTAGTTCTAGTTTTGAATTTTATTAATCAATTTCCCTGCATCATTTGCTAATACAATACAAGACAATTACTGGTAATGAGATATTTGATACTGCATTTACTTTCACTAAAAGATGCTTAAAAAGTGTCAATCATCTGCCTTAAGTAACATAATCTCACCCAAAGGAGGGATAGCTGAGTGCACTGGTTTGAGTAAAAACTTTCCCATTAGAACTGTGAAGGCCGAACCGAGATCCTTCTTGACCCAAAAAATTTTGTGAGCCTGTCAGGGATCGTTGGTGGCCTGCTAAACTCCAGTCGTCTCTTGTTCCTGAAATTTCCTTTCCATGCAAACTGAGGAAGTCATAAACACAAATGTTTATTCGTCATCGCATTGCCTCCACTCCCAGCACCACAAACATCATGACATCAAGTAGGCAAATTCTTTTTTCTACAAAAACAAGGTTCCAGTAAAGTGGAGATTGAAAATCAGGACATCATGAACATACGCAAGGGAATACCCATTCTAAGAGCTTGTTGTACAGATCATTTCCCTCCCCCCCCCTTCCGCCGAAAATACCTCAAATAGAAACTGATCAAATGTTTAGCCTTTTGAAAGTGTGGGACTCATCCAAAGCTGAAACATATGTATACAGACCTGCCACTGTATGAACTCTAAAAATCAGGATTTCAAGAGTATAAAAAATCGGATCTGGTGAAAAAAATCGGGATCAACCGCAAATCAGTTATAAAAAGTACTGGAAACAAAATTTTCAAAGTAGCTGCATGCCAAATTTATCTGTTTCTTATGAAAGGCCTATATATCCTGAGAATTTTGATACCATTCTTTAACATCTCAGTCAATTTTTAAGAAAATGGTAGCAGTTTTAAATATGATCAAATTTGTTTAAGTCGCAAACTGGCTGCAACCCCATGTTTGACAGATAATAAAAGAGTACCAAGAGCACCAACCATCTCCACATTAACAGAATACAATCACTATAACATAGATATGAAGCCTAATTTTTTTCAAGACTGTGAGATCATTACAAATCAGTATTTTATCACCTCAAACACGATGATCTGTCGTCATTTCGACAAAAACACCGAGCGTTGACCTGGCCGGCGCCCCACCGGCCCCCCGCGGCGAGCGAGTTGTCACTATACTGTAGTGTACTTTCCAAGTTGATGCAAGGATTGATGCAAACTAATTCCAAGTCAATTACTTTATTCTAATAGAAAAAGAACTGATCTTTTCATTGCTACCTTTTTCAAGCCGGTATTTTACATATTTCGTGTAAAAAAGGATCTTTGAAAACTTTAACGGTATTTTTAAAGGCTTTCTATTTAAACATCAAAAGCCAAAAATACACCACGGGAAAGCCCTCTTAAAGCTCTGCAGTGCTCCGCCAATGACAAGACGGTATTTAATCATCAAACCTTCGGCGAAGCATTTGAATGCACACATGTCAATTTTTGAACCAGCCGACCACGCATTCCAACCGCGAGGGGCATCACTTTCCATGGCGATTCTCCAGCTCCTAATAATCGGACATATAAACAACTTACACCATTGTAACGAAGAAAAGCTGAACTTTTACAAGGTGTTCAGCATTTAGTGTTTTGTGGCGAAAGAGCAAAGAAACAGCGGTCTGAATTTCCTCGATACCACGTGCTCAGAAGGCCGCAAGTGCCCACGAGGCCGAGTTTACGCTACCTAGTTATATGGGGCACTGGGGGGGTGGTTCCCTTTACAAAACTTTTGCAGGAATAAGTTCACATTTGGACCTCAAAGCAGAGGGGAGGAAATTGATCAGAGAGCACGTAAGCTACTCGGTTCAGACTGGGGGAGTGCAGGTTGCAGTGACGCTAAAACTCTCGTAGTCTTGAAAATAGCTTACACATAACTCTAATCATCCATGCAAAAGGCATGCGTTTTCATACAGTTACAACGTTTGACAAAATCGCGTCAAGGTTGTTCATCATTTCTTTTTCCTTTATGTGTCCTCAATGAGTAGGCCTACACGTATTATTGCACGCACTTTAAGCCAGAGTATCAAAAAAATACCCCCACCCCATCCCCCACAGTGGTTCCCCCACTGGCTAAGTCCTGAAAAACACCTCGACCAATGCGACCGGTGTGAGTGAACTTTGTTGACCCCGACAGTTGACGGTCCTCGACACGCGCTACTCACACGCACGCGGTCATGTCAAGTGATGTGAACGAGTGTATGCAAGTTCCACAGACAGGTCTTGATGATGAGCGGAAACAAAAGTCGGAAGAGATTTTAGTTGTAAACACGCCATCATGTCTCTAAGATGCATGGGCGCAAAGCTGCCCGATATGAGAATGGCAGAAACAAAATAAAAACACTCAAAGAAAAGTCTTTTAGGTGCTTTCAAGTTTCCACCAGAGGCTTCAATCTCTGTGAATGTTCCACTTACAATTTTGTACTAGTAATTTAGCTCATTCATTTTCTTTTCAGAAAATACTATTTTCATCATTTTTTGGTTGTGTTTGTGATTTTATACAATTTTTTTAGTAAGGTACCCCTTCAATTTTCGTGGAGTTGTTGCCCTTGTCTAAAGGATGGGGGGCCACAGCTGGCCAAGCCTGCTAAGTGCGAAAGGGTTAAATCGGGATGAGTGGTAGGTCTGATTTTTATCCACTGATACATGGCTTGAGTCAAGTTGGAAACCGATGATTTGCAAAAAGTAATTAAGCATTTTTCAGTGGAATGAAAAACAAGTGCAGATGTCAGCTACCACAGATAAATCAGACCTGCCACTCTATGAAATTTAAAAATCAGGATTTCAGGGGCGAAAAAATCGGGATCAACGATAAATCACCAAGGCGACTGCCAAGCTGACTTAAACATTTTCCAGGAGTGTCCATGAATATATATATATATATCCATGTATAGGCCCTGTGTGTGTGTGTGTGGTAGTGTTTTATCCTTTTAAAAAAAATCCTGCAGATGAACTTACGTTGGCCCCATTAACCGTTGGTCCCCGACACACGCGAAACTCACACGCCGAAGTCACGTGATGCAAACGCACGATTGAAAGTTTTACTGATGGGCCCGACTGAACAGAACTTGGGCAAAGCTTACTTTGAAACCAACAGCAGAACTATGAATAATATTGATCATTTTTGTATGTCGCAGTTGAAACAGTTATCAGGCCATCATCAGAGAATTCTGAGTGGTAACAAAGCGAAAGTAGATCTTAAGAATGTCCCAAGTCGCAAGGCCAAATTGCAAATCGATATTACTTCCATTATAGTTGAAATAATGTGTGCAAGCAAAGATCCAACACAACTTGGGGCGAGTCAACTACTAAATCCGGCATAAATGGCACAAAAAAATCATGATACACGCGATCAAAATCAGGAAAATCGGGATTCTTGAGATTTGCGGACAATTAATGTATAAAATTCGCCCACATAACTTACTGGTGTTCTTGCATATGTCTTAGTGCTTGCTGCTCGGCTTCCAATTTCTTTGCTGAAGCAATAAACGCATTGTATTTGGCCAGAGACAGGCCAGAGTCCTTGTCCCCATCATCATCTTGGTCCAGCTCCATGTCCTCAGGGTTAATACAGATGTTGATGGCTGGCTCAATGCTCTGGGACGAGTCCATGCTGTAGCTGGTCGCTGTCGCTGCTGGATTGGACACAGAGAGTACGCTGGAAGTTATCATGGACTACTCAGTCCCCCACGATGAATTTCAGTTTCCATGAAACATATACATTTACATCCAATGTGTAGACAAACTAATGAACCCTGGAGCTAATACTGGAGTTAAAAATATGACGGGCATGAGGGAAAAAACCAGTGATGTCAGTTTTTTTCTTAATTTCTGGGTTATTGTTCCTGCATGATGCCTGGCTGGGTCTGCTTTAGTCCATCTAAGTCATATACGGAAAAATAAGCGCTGCCAGTCTCTGTGAGTTAGAAAATATAGTCCACAATGGAAGAACCAGCGATGTCAGGATGTTAACAACAGGAAAAACCAGCAATGTCAAGCATATTTTTTGTCATTGCAACCCTTGTGAGACCAATCAGTGACCATATTTCAGTTTTATAATCATAGCACAGGAGACAAAATAGCAGAAGCCGAGCGATATCCCAAAGTGACAGAAGCGTCAAGAAAAATACAAAAGTTATGGAGAAAACATGAGCTTGAGAAGTTTGATGTCAAAGGTTTGAGTTTCCCATCGTGTCAAGCTTTTCCAAATGCAATTTTAAAAATATATTTATAACGACTCCAAATAATAATTATTGTATGATTGTGAAAAAGCAGATAGAACATTTGGGTTTTGATCTCATGGTCTTAGAAACTCAAAACAGCCAAAAGCGTCAGATAGAACTTTGGAATTCTTTGGTAGTGTGCTGTTGAGAAAGATGACACAAGGTATTAAACTGTAATGAAAAAGCAACTTACGAAGGAAGATGGAACTTTCAGGTCCAGAACATGTAGGTGTGCCAAAGAAAAATTGTGGTTTATCTTCGTAATTTGTCCCAGTCAAAACATCACCTTGAGATTGCGTTCTCATTGAGTACACACGACAAGACGACAGTGCTGAAACTGGTTCTGAAACAAGAAATGTAAGAGGAACACATATGAATACATAAAAAAGTTCAGGACTATCTTGTAGCTCTGTGTGTTTTAAGAACAGATACAGTGAAATTGCTCACACTGAAGTCGTTGGGCCCAGCCTCCAAGTTTGTTGAATGATATCCAACTGTTTGTTATTAAAAAGATGCAACGAACATGATAATTTTTTTATCAGTAACAATAAAGACGTCTGTTCTAAATGTGTCACAGTGTAAGTATAACAGGACACAGCCAACAGTGTCCCACAGAGCTTGTTTATATGAGCAGTTTCTTCAACTGACAAAGTTCATGAACAACCAGGTCAGGTTTGTGCAAGATTCACCGTTTGGTTTTTAAAAAATTCTTTCATGTGAACCACACCAGAACTTAAAAGTGCTTTAGCAATGTATACTCAAATCCAAGTGTTCGTTGTCTCTTCCATTCACTTGTTTCTTTGTCCATGGCTGCCCTATTAAGTCTCACCATTGCCCTTGCAATTCCCCTCCTCCCCCCATACTTTTCAGTGACATCACAATACAGTGGACCAAAAATCTACATGTCTCTTCAAGACCAACATCATAATATACAGCAAATGAAACATTCTGGCGCTGGGCTTAGGACAATCCCCACCACCTGTCTATTATGAACATTACTATAGCAGATTATCTCATCAAAGTAAAACAACACTTTGATCTTTCCTTATGAAAAAAATAGTAAGAAAAGAGCAGGTATATTATTATGATCAAACTACAGATGATGCTCTATCTATGGTGCCACCAGAGTTCCCCATTTCACTTGAATAACCAGAGGAAATGTAGACGCACTCTTCATACAAAAGTCCACCCTTTTCTAACACAAATACAAATGAAAATCAAGTGTAAAAATCATACCATACCATATTCATCAGATAGCGGAGATCTTCTGCCTGTATGGTTCAAATGGAAGGTTCTGCTGCATTTGCTGGAAAAACAAAATACAGCCAGTTATAACACTCCACAGAAGGTAATGTTTCACATTAACCCAAGTCAAAGGGAGACAATCCAGTAACAGAGCAACACCCTGGCTAGAGCTAGTAAACTGACAGTGGTTTCCCGCAAGACAAAAAACATCAACCTGTTTGTACTTTATCCTCATCCGATAGGTCATTGAAGCAACCTTGTATAGTCAAATTTTACAGGACGGACGGGACTGGTAGTTTTTACCCTGTTATAAGTGAGTCCTGTTGTAACTGTTATCAAGGGAAACTACCAGTACCATTGCACCTTCATCTTACTATATATATTCGACTACCGTAGATACTTTTCCTGTAGGCTGTTTTGCTTACACTGAGACAGACCAATCAGTGACCCCAACACTATGGGGGGGGATGTGTTTGAAAGTTTGTGTTTTGGAAAGCGATCATACAAACAAGCGAAATGTCTTGGTTGAGACAAATTTTAATAATTTGATGGACTGAAAGCAAGTTCATGCGCTGCAAGATCACTGTTATATCTGAGTCTGCGCAAATTGAACCCTGTTATAGTCAGGTTCATATTACTTATATATTTATAGAGGAAAAAAAAAGGGGATTTGAATTATCACTGTTATATCCAAGTTCATGTTATAACAGAGGCCATTATAAATGGACTAAACTGTAAAGGACATCCTCAGAGCCCATGACTTGGCCCTCCTCCAAGCCACTCAACTCCCAGCTGGCAGACAATCGTTGCTCCCTGCATCACCTACCAGTACCAGTGAAAGGAAAAAACAAAAGTAAGTAATACTCCTTCCATTGTCATCCACCGTTAAGGCACCAAAGATGATTCAGCAGCCAGTTCCACCACCTGTTCTCTTAGCCTCTCTCTGTGCATCATTCAACTTCAGGCCTGTCCATTATTGGACAGTCTCATATTTCTTCCTTTGTCTATCTCTTCTTCTCTGTCTCCTCCACTGATTGTCTTGGCAAACCATTAAGACCCTGTACATGCGATGTGTCCATACCACTTGAGCCTGCATTACTCTAGTGTTGTCAGGAGGTCTTCCAAAGGTCCAGTGACTTGCTTATTAAAAAGTCTGTCATGCACTTCTCCATTGGTCTTCAAAAGTGATGATGAGGAGTTAACAAAACCATCCCATCTCTACCGTACTATCCTCTTCTCAAGCCTAAAATTTTCAAATAAAAAACCTCTTAAAGCAACCGGAAAATTCTCTATGTTTTTGTGTTCCTTGTTATAAGACTTTCCAAATTATAACAAGAGATGAGTATGTACCTTTGGTGTCCGCGTAAAAGTACTAGAAATGCAGTGCAAAAATGAAAGTTCCCAAAAAGCAAACTGATTTTAATTTTTTTTTTTTTTTTTTTTTCATGTATCAAAATATTCAAGTTAAAAACAATGCATTTTCATTATGAGCATAAATATTGACACTGTGCATTAATTTCAGATATACAAAAAAAAAAGAAAGAAAAGAAAACCCTTAGCTTAACAAGGAGAGTTGATAAATACTGTACTAGTCATCTTTTTTTCCCTCCCAAGAACAGCCTTCAACTGGTGCTTTGAGGTAAGTTTTTAAAAAATCTTACTGAAGTTCCTTCTAGAGCTTGTTCACTATTAACTGTCCATGTTAATAAAATTCTAGTTCATTTATTTATTTTCCACTGCACATCATGTAACTTTGTATGGTATTACTGTTGGCCAGTGACCAAACAAAAATATATTTTAAAAAAATCTGAATCCAGTAATAAAAAAGAGATTCTGTATTTGGGCCTTGTATTAAATATCCTCCTTTGGTTGCAAACACAGGATCAGTACAATAAATGATTTACAGAGTTCCAGCCTATAAATTGCTCTTTGAGACAACAACACGACTATGCCCCCATGTTTCAGCATAATCACGTGGTTTCCCCCCCCCCCTCAAGACTGTCTAGACATCAACACATGAGTTTCGAAAAGTACTCATCCGTCTGTTGAACCTTGTTTCATAGCCACGAGTTAAAGTGTGGGGTTGAAATTACTAGAACTTTTAAAAAATGTTTTAGGTGTATTCTGTAGATCCCCTACTATGTCTCTTTACCCACTTCAGACTAACATCACAGAAAATGTGCCGGAACTTTAGTTTACAATGGACTTCATTAATGGGTTTTTAGATTCTTTTGGTCATCCAACTTTTAGACCCACTTGCAAAGACCTGAGTGGATTTAACTGTGTAATTTGTTTTCATCCTGTTTTATCTGAGGACAGACGGAAGAAAACAAGCTATTATGCATCATTGCAGATATATTATATATTTGAGCAAAGAGCCTTGAATTGGATGCTTAGAGCCGATTCCATTTTATACCTTAAATATTAAACACATCTCGAAAATAGGGTAAATTTCACTGTCATCTTTTTTAAAAATACATTAGAAGCAAACTTTAAAATTTTAAAGGCGAGTTAAAAAACTTTGAATATTGTTACCAAGAAAAAAAACTTTCGAACATCCCAAATCTATAATTTTAATCATTTGATTTTGATAATAATATAGCTTCCTTGTTATCTTGCCTGTGGCTATGCTTACGGCTCCCTACGTACAGCCCTTTAAAGTCACAGCCTTGATAATCTCTCAGCTGGATCGCGTCACTTTATCGATCGATATCTTGGCCAAGACTAAGATCGTGTGTACCAAGATAGTTCACTCATCACTTCTCTATTTGAACCAAATAAAAAAGGGTTTTCAAAATTCGGAGGTGCCCTCTTCGAAAAAGTGTGGACTTTGTGACCAGAGTTACCCTACTTGTGTGAAAATAAAAAATAAAAGTGAAACAAACAAACTGCTATTTCTATTCTTCTTCTGGAGAAACGAAAGAGAGCTTCAAAAACTGAAGTATCATCTGAACCAGTGCGCAGACTTCCATGGACACTTTTTTCGCTGAGTGAACTTTCTTGCTATGTACGATCTTTGGCCAAGAGACACTCTACGAGGTCAAGATAACTTGCAAAGTCACTGGTGGCTATTTATAACTTTGACCTGTAATTTACTACGTTATTTTCCATATAAGGAATACTGAAATTTTCCATTGAAAAAAGGTCAACATCTATGCCCTTTATATAGCTGTGCGCTTCCCAATCAAAGCAGGTCAGCCCTATAGGGGCTGCGGCTTCCCGGGTAGCCCGGCTCACCCCCTTTATAAAGTGCCTACGCGCTTCCTGGGTTTAAGTTTGTCCACTTGTGGTGTCCGGTTTGATAGTTTATGTGCCGCCTATAAAGCCTAGCTTATTTATGTGAAGAGGAGGGAGCCGTACACATACCAATTCGTATTATCTTTAAAGCAAATGTTTTACCCATAATAACATTCAGTTTTTTGGCTCTCCTGTAAAATTGTAAAAACTGCATTTACTGTATTTTTCAAAATGACGGCAGTTCAATGCAAAACATTTTTCTATTGGCTAACAGAATGCTGACCTGTACCAAAAGAATGTATTGGTTCTCCTTTGTCACTGAAAATGTGTCAAAGAAGAAAACTACAGGCTGTTTCCACAAGTATACGTTACATAGTTGTATAATCTTGCCTTCAATATCAGGAAAACAGGGCCCACTACAAATGTTTGACTGCTCTGAGTGACTGCCCGTGCAATAACTTATAAGTATAGTATAGGCCACATCTTGATGAAACAAAAAAAACATCAACATGTGGCATCGGAATTTATAAGTATATACCACACCTTTGGGGAAAAGGCATTGGACAGAAAGATTACAACTTGATCCAGCTCTAAAATACAAGACGTGCTCCCACAATACATGTAGGTAGAAAATCGGGATCGAGAAAGCCCAACAGGGGCGGAAACAAACCTAACACCACAGCTGTAGTCTTAAATTCTAACACAACGCAAAAAAAAAACCCAATGAGAATTCTTTCTACTCAATGATACTGATCAGAAAACATGCAGTAGCATCCAAGGGCAACAAAAGTCCAATGCAAACAGAAGGCAAAAATATCACAAAGACATCCAACAAATAAAAAGTGTCAACTATGAAACTTTAACCTCTGTTGCCAACATTTTTTGACTTCTTGTCTACATTCACAGCCATAATCTGAAATGGAACAGCACAGGTTGTTATTGAACACTTTTAGCCTTTCACAGTGATCAAAACAATTCATATGGACTAACTTGCAGGCTGCAAAATATGTGTTGACGAGGGATAGCTATTAACTTAGCAACTACATTCAAGACAATTTCCACGAAACAATACTTTCCAAATAAATTGTTTGAGATAGATATATGGTATTAGCAGTTCTAATAAAAGGTGAAAGGATTTTTAAATCAGGTTTTTAATCCAAAGATCTGTTGTCTTTTATTTCCTCAGATCATTTACACCAATTTAGAAAATTGCAACGATTCAAAATGAGTTTCTACATGTTACTCGACTTAACGACTTGAGCTTCTTTGTTAGCCTTTCTTTGCTCACCTCTCTTGTCCCCACTTCTCATGTTGTCAAGTTTTATGTGCAAAACAAAAGATCCCATTGGCATGTTCAACTAACTCATCGTAGAGTACGGAGAAAATGTAATGAACAAAATGTAGGAATATCACTGGTGCAGTTTGTTTTAAGCGAAACAGACACATCTGGAAGAAAAGCCACGCGCAGGGTGCCCGCAGATTTCAAAGTCAAAAGCCAACATACAGGGAGCTGACACACTTATTCAAGAAGATAGGTGTTTGAAAATTTATGAAATTGCTATGGCTCGTGACTGAGCCATATAGGTTGTTCATGAAACTGTGTATGAACAACCAGAGTATCAAGGGCCTAAAAAAAACTGACCGAAAATATTTAAAACTGTGCTGAGAAAGGTGTTGGCATTGCAATCAGAGCTGGTAGGAATGTTAAAGAGACATTCTGTGACTTGACACCAACTACTGTGACTTCTTTAGAGCACGTAATTAAAGGCAAAAAGACTTAGTTGCGTCATAATACTCCAGAAAAGTAAAAAAATCCAAAGATTATTTATCATTCAAGAAACTGTAGACCATTATGTTTAGTTGGGACGTCAAAGGTGTCTGCTTCTCGATATGGAGTGCCGCGCTGACTGTTAATGAAACACTTGACAAGCTGCATGAAACCTTGCACCAAAAGAGATCTGGATATCTGGAAATGGAAATTATTCTCCAGCAAGACTATTGTAGTCTGCACACAGCTGGAAGGTACTGCTGCATCCTACGGTTAGTCCTGACCTTGTTCTTTCAGACTTTCATCTAAACTCCTCCGTGACCTATATGACATACGTCATTAGTCATCTTTTCTTATACGGCAAAGAAACCAAGTTGCCACTGTGACGTACGTGTGGCGCATGTAATCGTTATGTCTTGCAAAGCACGAGGACCATGATGAAGAATGCTGATCATCATAGCTTGTATTAAAAAAACTGTTTCTATTAAATGCACTTTGTAAAACTTATTGCAGATTCCCATTCAATGATATTTAATATATTTAGGCTACTTCATTGTGGACATTATACGAGCCTCAACATTATCTTGATCTTTTTAATGTATCTGTACTGAAAGCAAGATGGCACTGCACTTTTAGTTTAAGTTTAGTATGAGGTTTTACGGCGCTCGCAACTGCATAAGGTCATACGAGCGTGCGAAACACAAGTTCACGGCACCGCGGGTCAACTATCAGATTTTAAAATGTTAAAATATTAAAATTCGGTGTAAAAATATTTTCAATTTAAAACAACTCTTTTAAATAACATAAACATTTTAACAATTTTATTTCACTTAATAATTTCCCATAAAGGCCAATGGCCTTCATAAAATCCAAAATTCTGTTGGGAACAACGGCGGAAAACAGATCTTGCAATTGTTTGAATTTAAAATACTTCTTTCAGGTCTCTCCGCAGTCTAGACATTCAGTTGTTGTTATCCTTCCAGAACTAGACATTCGGTTAAAATGTGTCTAATGGTAAAATCTGTGTCACATCCGACACAGAACGGCTTCTCATCTTCCTGAAGGAGGTATTTGTGCATAAGGGCTGTGTGTTTGATGTGTAATCGAGTAAAAATGACTTTGTCTCTTCTAGAGACTGCACTTTTAAAAAAGGAACCTTTTCACTATGTATGTAAAGACAAGTTGCACAGAAGAAGAATCTTACCTCTTTTTCCAAACATTTTGAAGACATTTGCTTTCGGTTCTTTCAACATTCCACCTGCTATAGGCTTGATTACTGCTTTCTGAAAGGTACAACAGCAAATAAATATACTGAGTGGTTATTATTTTTTTTTAAGTGAGTATGAAAGAATGCCACAAACAAAGTTACAAGATATGTTCCAGATGCCCCCTGTTTGGAGTAAGGCACACTGTGACTGTGAGTGAAACTGACAATCATGTGCTGGCACTGCTCAGTAGAAATCTCTCAAAATAAATGCTCTCCGTGATGAACAATTGTCCTGCAGGTGAAGCCCACATTACTTTTCTTCTTCTTTACATTCCCCTGCTAAATCCCATGGTTTTTCACCCAGCAGTGCAACTGATTTTTATGTATGTGAACGTTTTTCCTATTTTGTAGGGCCCCTTGCCTTCAGGCAGCCACACTCCGATTTCAAAGGTATATTATAGAGTATTTTTAGTTTTGGTAGGAATTAATTTTAAACTTTTATCCCCCTGGTAGCTGAAGTCTACTCTCATCAATCTTAGGACCACCAAGCCCTCATCCGTAAAGGTTTGGTGATCAATCCTACCTACACAAAGATCAAGGGTGAGTCTGACAGACAGCAGTAAGAAGGAGCCAGGACAAACAGTAGAAAGAGGCAGGAGTAATGGAGAGAGGAGCCCACAGGAGGTGGGGGTGGGGGTGGTGGAGGAGAGAAAGTGGAGAAGACAGCAGACAACAGAACAGGACCAGAGAACAGGTCCAGAGAACAGGATCAGGGAACAAGAAAGGAGACGGAAAAAATAAAATTTTTGATCGTCGCTGTCAGGTCTGATACCTGGACCTTTTGAATGAAAACACCTTACCTCAAGAGCCCCTGTACACTACTTTTTAATTCTGAGCAACAAGCTATAAAACATCACTTTTCCACAACATGAAAGGGCTAGATCACTTACAGTTTCAATATCATCTCCCATGGGAACAGATCTCTGTGAGGCAGCACTGAAAACAATAAAGAGCCATAATCATCATTTGTGGCATGACGAGGTGGAACCACGCACTCGCCAATTTTTGGGCAAATAGGGTTATTGGTATCATCTTAAAACCTGTTAATTTGCCTTGCTTTATGTTTTAAAAAAATATCCATCTATGTTGAATAGAAGTCAAGATATTCGCGACTGAAGAAAGAGAGGATAGCCTGGTTTCAGAGGTAAAATTAACGAAAAAATGGCCGTCCAAGTTTGGTAACTTCCATAGCTTGAGAGTCTTTGGAAACTGAAAATTTGCATTTTTTGTGCCTTTAATCAATGTTTTTCAGTAAAAACCACACACAAATGTGTTTTTAAATGGATGTAAAAGGTGTTGAGCCAAAAAAAAGAAAATTATATAAATGCCCCACTGGCCAGAAAAATGCTGGTTTGTTCAATTTCATTATTTTGACGTGCGCCTGATTTCACTAAGATGCCTCTCATTTTGTCTCAGTAGAAATCTTCATCCACAGGTTCTTTCAGAACAACTGAAAAAATACAGCTATCACCAAACTTTTATTACTCCTTCATGTGAAATCAAAATCACTGAAAATTTTCGTAATTTTTTGTAGTTTATAGTTTACTTTTACCCTTTTCTGTTTTCAGCATGCAAAACTGGCTAAAGAAAAAAGCAGCACTAGCACTGAACTCGGCCAAAACCAAAATCTTTCACATTCACATTAATCATAACCTCATTATGTAGCACTCTGTCCGAATACTATATTATATAATTGCTGAATTATTGAATTTTTCTTTATGGTTTCTATCACATTCACTTAACCTGGTAAAGCTTTACTTTGGAATATAATTAAATGTTCTTTACATCAGCGATAAAAATTCTTTTCTACTGCTAACGTTGCTAAACTGTGGTTACCTAAACTTTACCGGAGACTAATGCCAATGTTATTCTCGCTTTCTTCAGCAAAAATAACATAAATTATATTTCTCCTTCATAAAAATAAATAACGGTTAACAATAATTTCCAGTGAGCCTAAAAAGGCCCAAAAAATTTAAGAGGTATAATTTTGTATGTTTCGGAACAACACAGCCACTACACTGAACTAATAACTCAAATTAACAGCATATCTGTCAACCAATGACTGGTACCCACAGACTGCTGTATAAGTTCCCCCTACATTTACCTTATAATCACTGAATGCATGACGACAAAATCAATAAATCAACAGCATACCTGAATCCAGAGTCTCCCGGAGTCTGTTTGGTACCAGTACCAGTCTCTGGCGTCATGGATTCTGGACCCTTTTCCAAGCAATTACTTGGAACAAGCAATTTCTCAAAGTTGTTCCCTTTATTGTTCTGTAAGCTAAACGAAGACATGAAATTATGTCCAAATAGGATTTTGAATTCAAAGCCCCTAAATACAGCCTTGCACGCACATTTATAGTGAACACATACCAAATGACACCTGAACATATCTAAAATATTTTCAGGTCCAGAATTTTTTCTTATACATATGTATATTCTATGCACTTAAAAAAAAGTACATAGCCAAATTCATAAATGATGAAAAGACTTTTGCAGCCCACCAATTTCACTAAGTGAATGCGAGACTTCATATTGTCACCTCTTGAGAAGTGTAATAAGTGGGGCTTTATCAAACCTTTTAGCTGTTTTCACCTTAAATGGTTAAGGCCAAACACAAACTTGAAGATTTCTACTTACACATTGATTCAGTCACACATTCTTTACTACTACAGCAATTTTAATGTTTCTGTCAGATGCTCCCAAAAGTTTCTTTTTTGTTGTTTTTTTACCTTAGTCCCCAACTTTGTGGAAAATGTGAGGACAATTGATGAAATGAAAAAAGGCACAGGTGCACCCCATTACCCCTGACTGAACACTTCTTAATAAACATGCCTTCATGCATACCTCAAATCAGTCTGACACACCTCAGGAACAGATGCACCAGCTTCTGCAATAAAAGAATAGAAAAATGCCTCTTTGCATTTGTTCGCTTTACGCTTTGCCTCAGAGACAGTGCATTTTTTAGCAGCACTGTGTTTGAGGACCAAGCTACCACAAATTCTTTCATAAAGAAAACGTCTAGTGCAGAAATTCATCAAAAAGGTACAATAACTTCTCTCCGACAAGGCACTCTCAACGGCTCACAGTCGGAACTGCTGAGCCAGTGAGCAATTCCTTTATGACTTTGACATTGATGTCATTTTAGTTTTTGGCAATAACAGGTCTTTTTTACTGGGAATTTCTTCATTAGTTGAAGAGATAAAGATATAATTACCATAAGTACAAGGATGCACCAAAAAAATTAGGTTGAAAAGTGCCAACAACCACATCAGCCCATTCAGAGTAGCAACAGCGAGCTGACTCCCTTGACCCTGATGTGAAATAGCGCTCTTAGCGGAAACCCCCACTGCAAAGAAAATTCCACTGCTGGTGTGCATGACACACACATCATTCTGTAAAGGAGCAAAACAAAAATTAGAAACCTCTATATATCTTACTTCAGGTGTCAGTGTCACCTTGGGATCACTTTTCCTGCTCTCTAGCACTGTTATACCACTTTCTGCCCCCACCCCCTCACCTCTTTTGCCCCCTCTCGGGGTCCTGACTCTTTCTGCAGCCTTTCTACTGTTACTCCTTGGCTCTTAAATTCTTATTACTGTCTTTCAGCCACACCCCTGATCTTAAGGTAGGAATGGTGTACATCTAATCTTCTTGGACAAGGGCGAAAAAATCTCGGAGGCCCCATGTGCAAGTTGTGCATGTTAAAGATCCCTTGGTGGTTCAAAATCGATAGGTGTAGGCTTCGGCCGCCACCTGGGCAAAATTCAAAATTTCCTACAAACTGAAACATGGTTAACTCACTTGCGACTGGGCCCTTTCACCAGTCACAAGCGTTGAAGACTGGCGTTTTTGGGGGTATTTCAATAAATCACCACAACTCTCAGAATTACCCTATTGTAATTATCTTTTGACACAGTAAAGTAACATTCAAGCTTAATCTAATACAAAAAACTAAAGTTGTTTAAGTCTAATACTTTAATTTGTATGATTTTTAAAAAATTGGCATGAATTTTTGATTTTCTGAAAAATTTCCAGAGACGTGACAAGTAGAATGAAATTCACTACAGCAACAAAAATAAAAGTTCAAAGTGTTCTGGTTTGATTTGTATACATGTGCGAGTGTTTGCTGAAAATATAAAAGCTGGTCTGTGCATTGATTCAGACCCATACACTGAATTACATGAGACAGATGTACGGCACGACGTTGTGATTTCGTTGCGCGAAAAACAACACCAGTTTTAGTGCTAGATCTAGCCCTAGAACTACGACTCGGGCCGTGTTCGGGTACATATCCAGGATCCTAACCATCAGACACATCATATTCTGAGACACTAGAACTAGTAAAACGTACAGAAGTATAGAAAACGGTGAAATTATGTGATTCTTGTTCATGCGACTTTTTCGACCGTTACTACGACGCGACTGTCGGATTACTATCAGCTGTATAGAAAAAAACAAAGCGCGAGTTCCGGTCTGTTCAACCCCAGTTGGGGTCACTATCCTTCACCTTCAATAACTTAAAAACTACCGGCCCCAGAGATACGAAACGAAGTCTTAGTAGCTCAGGCTTGGCCAAACAAGGGTACGAGGCGGGTATCGTGATCCGTGCGTGATTTGTAGAGCGGAAAAAAAAATCCAAAGTAGGTCACGCAGGGCTTGTGGGAGCCGTCGCAAGCATCGCGGCGGGGGTCACGCAACTGTTGTGTGAACCGTCTGAAGTGAGTTAATATGTCCCTCACGCTCATATGACCTTATGCAGTTGCGAGCGCCTGAAAAATATGCCAACCCCCCCTCCCTCCCAAACAAACTGTGTGATTATAGAATAAACAAGGAGAAAGCTCACCAGTAGGAACTAAGCTGGTCCCCTTGAAATTTGCCATATAACTCACTCTACCAAAAACTTACTTTTTTGTCTCCCGATGACCAGGTTCTTAGGTGGAGACCACAGTACATATTCAAATGGGGTTTTTTCCCCATGAATCTCAACATTAAACTACATAAAGCTACATCTAGATTTTTAACTAGTGTTCTTTATATAAGAAATACTTCTAAAGAAGAATGGAAACTTGCTGTTACAACTAAACCATCAATATAACATATCAATGCCATTCACTAATAAATCCATTGAGATCTCTGCCTTTTTCATTTAGAGCTGTCTTTGATTATGAGAGTATAAGTGCCATATATATTTTTCGGTCAAGTACTTTTCCTACTGTTAGAGAAATCTAATCTTGAGAATGGAACAAAAGAGAGATCATCCTGAATTTGAACAAATATTCATTTACCTTAGGTGATAATTTACAAAATCAAATTGATTTGTCAATCATTACTTTTTTTTTTAAATTTCTAAGAGACAAAACTTGACATGTTTCAGCTGGTTAAAATACCTGTAACTGTACTTGATGCCTCAATAAATGATTTACAACAATTTACTTTATCCCCAAAACAGGGAACTGTTAACCAAAGTGACGTTACATTTTGATGACTCAGGAATGTTTGAAAGTCCTTACAACCTCGGTGGCATTTTGCTACCTTCGAATTGTAAAGTTCTATCAGAAACTTTTGGCCATTTTGAGTTACTAAGACCATGAGGTCAGAAACCAAATGTTCTATCTTAAAGTAAAAATTTCTTAATGTCAAATTTCTCAAAACTAGGTACAGAGTAGATAGAACTTTGCAATTCTAGGGTAGCGATTTGTACCCTACTCCTCTACTTACCAGGGCTGGCTGGGCAACTAACAACAGCCAGTGCTGGCTGGGGGTGTGCTGTATTCACATTCTCCCCTTGTCGTAAATGATCTGCCATGGTAAGAATTTTCTGCATATCCAGGTCCACCATCTTCTTCACAGACTCAGATTCTGGAATTTGGCCTGAAAAGCAAACAGAATTACATTGAGAAAAGTCTGCTCAGTGAATCTTAAAAAATTACCAGAAAATGACATTAATGCACGCTGTGAGGAAATATGGATTACAATAGCAAGTACAATGCATATATACATGAAATAATAGACAAGACTAATCAATGTTGCATAAACATAATGACCATCACTGACCAAAGGTGTATTCAGACCAAACATTTGTGTTCTTCCGTTCTGTCTAACAGACGATAGATCGATGGTAGCGGACTCGGGACCTCTTCCTCAAACCACCTCGTCTCAATCGTTGGAGTGCCTTTCACAAACATTAACATCAATATTAAAGTTCTTGTTTTGTAGCAGCAAGGACAATTTCATCAAACAACAGAACAATAATGCTTTGTCAAACATAAAGAATCATTATCATAATGCAATCTATTGAATGACCAGTATAATGAGTATATTATTACTATATTTGTTTGGGTTTTTCTTGTCCACCTTCTCTTTCCTCTGCTCCACCCCTCTCCACCCCACCCAACCCCACAAAGCCAGTGGTATAAGAGTGAAAGAAGAGGTAGAGGCAAATATCTATCTTATCTAGCATGAAAATAGAAGGGGCTGCTTTTCCGATTAAAATCCTGGTGTCGAAATTTAAATTACCAATGAGTCAGCTTCTCCCCTATTTCTTTCCAAATCTGTTTCATGTACAGCTGATGTGAATACAATCTATTAGTTTTATCAAAAAATTGCTGGGACTTTTTGATCTACTTCAGTCAGGACCTCATTGTCTACCTCAATCATTTCATGGGAAGCAAGAGGAGAATGTGAGCAGGGTTGGTGATTTTTTTGATTTTTTAAATAAAAATTTAAAAAATCGATTTTTAAAATTTAAATCAAGATTTTTTAAAATTTAAATCGGATTTTTTTTTTTTTTTTTTAAATGTCGACACAGTTTGGGATTTTTAGTTGCTAAAAGTATGTTCTTTTAGTGCAAAATGCATTGTCTTTATTTTAACTAATGATTAATTTAAGCAACCGCAAAAGAAAGCCTTAATCTGATATATATAATATATATATATATATATATATATATATATATATATATATATATATATCAGTGAATTATGGCTACAGACAAAAAAATGAAGAAAATGTCAGTCTAAAGGGAAAGGGGGGGGGGGGGGGTAATTATGCATAGATAAACTTGCATTTTATTACAGTGTGTGTGTGTGTGCGTGCTTGTGTTTGTCTAAAAAGAAAAAGAAAATGTTAATTTCAATAATGAAAAAAAAAAATTGAATACTGTATTATTTTACAACTTATAGTGAAAGGGAGGAAAGCAGACTTTTAAGCATGATTATATTAGTCTACTAAACCTTATATACTGTTTTATAAAACCAAGGAAAGGAATTCTGATTATTTAAAGGTGTAAAAACAGAATACATTTTTTAAAAGTGATTTAAATCATTGAGTTTTATTTTCAAAATCAAGTTGATTTAAATTTTTAAAAATCAACTGATTTAAATCGACCTGATTTAAATAAACCCAACCCTGATTTTAATTATGAAAAAAAAAGTCAATTGAATACTGTATTGTTTTACAGTGACAGGGGGGAAAGCAGACTTTTAAGCATGATTATATTAGTCTACTAAACCTTATATCTGTTTAATAAAACCAAGGAAAGGAATTCTGAATGTTCAAATATGTAAAAACTGAATACATTTTTAAAAAAGTGATTTAAATACTGATTTCTATTTGTAAAATCAAGTTGATTAAAATATTTTAAAAATCAACTGATTTAAATCAACCCAGCTCTGATTTCAATTATGAAAAAAAAAAAGTAAATTGAATACTGTATTATTTTACAGTGAAAGGAGGGAAAGCAGACTTTTAAACATGATTATATTTATCTACTTAACCTTATATCTGTTTTATGAAACCAAGGAAAGGAATTCTGAATGTTGAAATATGTAAAAACTGAATAAAAATAAATTTTTTTTAAAGTGATTTAAATCACTGAATTTTATTTTAAAAATCAAGTTGATTTAAATCCAAAAATTCAACTGATTAAATCAACCCAACCCTGAATGTGAGCGAGCGAAATGACTGGCGACACATTACATACTAGCACACAACACTGTCAATCTACACCTTGGACAAACTGAGGTCACATGACTGGTCCATTTCTGTTTGTTTCTCCGGAATCGGCAAACTGATGTTTTCGCATTAAAATTTGACAGAGAGTACAAATATGATATCAGATTTTACCATTTCAACAAAAAATTGTTGAACTTTCTCCACTTGATAGGACATAACTTACGGTGAAAGTTTCAAGGCCGCTGTCAAGCCAACTAGACTGAATTAAATGGAACCACCTGTCTGATGGAATTAAGCAGACGGGCTCAGACGTTTGTTCTGAATGTACAGCTAAAGCGTCTATTTTTAGCAAAGGCTATTGCACCCTTCTCAAGGACACACCAAACAAAGCAAGTATTCAGTAAAAAACAATTTTATTGAAAACATGCCTCTTTCACAATTTCCACTTTTTAAAAGACCAGATTTTGAAGCTGTATATTCATCACTGTTCATAACACTTTAACTCACTCAATCCCGGGAGTTTTTCACGAAATAGTACCCAGAAACCGGTCATTTTGACACTTATGTAAGGGCCCACTAGTAAGCATAAATAATAATAATCAAATTGCTTTGAAATGAGCAAAAAATACAACCTAAGATGGATCTTTGGACACACCAAATTTGAAGTATGTAGCGTTATTAGTTTTGCTTTGGGGTGTTATACAAATTTGGCATTTTTGGGAGCTTGTAATTTTTTTTCATGGCCGAATCAGCGAGCAAGCCTACATTGATATTCAAACATGCTTGGGAGTGTCTAGATCTATAAACATATTGTATGTCATGTATAATAAAGCCTGTTGAATACTTTCATGAATAAAAAAATAAATGTATGTGTGAGAAAGGCAGAGAGAATCGATTGCGAGACATGCTCAGCTGATCAGTGTGAACAAATGTGCTGAAAGTGCTTTATAAAAACTGTGATTTCTTCGTGTGTAATGACAGTAGAAACTAAATTCCAGCACTCCTCTAAGCAGAATGGGCCGCGGAAATAATAAATCGACCTTTTATAAAACTTGAGGTCGTTTTCTGAAACAAAATAACTAGTATGCAGAACAAAACTATAGAACCGAGTTATCTTGGTTGTGGGGTTGAACGCAGCCCGCGAGCTCACCGAGATATCTCGGTCACGGGATTGAGTGAGTTAAAGGTAAGCCAAAAAATCACAAGGCCTGCTTCTAAATACTGTTGTGAAAATGCAAAGTGCCCCATCCTGGATAGAGGTCTCACTGGAAGTGTGAAGCTTAACTGAGGATTGAATACACCATTTTGACAAGGACGGTGAATCAAATCATGTTCAAACAAGAAATATTAAGCAATGGTAACAATACATGTATACACGAGTTCACAATATAACACACTTATGTTATTATTATTCCTACCTCTTTTGACCCAGTCAGATGACTTGGCATTGGCAAGCATGGCATATTGTCTCTGAAAGCAAAAAAGAGAATCTGTGTCAAGCTTGTGGCAGTAAAGCGTATATGAAAACATTGAAATATGTAACAATAGCACAAAACATGGAGCAAAATTTGAAGAGTGCTGATTTCAAATTAGTAGCAGCTTTTTATTTGTTGATGCCTTTCTTTTCAGATATCCATTCAGCACCGCCAGAAGCCAGAAGGACTACATGTAATCTGTTCTGTCAGAAGTACAGATATATGAGGCAGAAGTAAAGAGCCAAAGTAACTCTCCCTGGCTTAAAAGGGATGCAGATCCTTAAAGTGCACACCATATTATAAGTGTACTCACTGATTCCAGAAGGAGCAACTACTTTTCAGTAATTTCGAATACTCCGTCACAACTATCTCAAGAATAGTCCCCAAACACTACACAAAGTAAAGGCTCGAAGTAATAGCGCCTTGGTCTCTGATTACAATTACTATAGCGTATGTCAAAAATGCTGTCTGATTTCAAAAAAGCAATCCACCAGAAGAGGACTGGTACTGCTGATAATATAGACCACATTCAGCTACTAACCCATGCTCTAAGTAAGGCAAATCTACAAGTATGTGAGAACTACCATCCATAGACCATCAAAGCATAGACTAACCATAAGCTTGATATATTACTTACACATAGACTTGCCACTACTTGAAAAAACATCAGAACCTAGACATACCAAAACACTACTGAAAAAAATATGTCATGATGTGGTGGAATCAGGTGCTTTTCAATTTTTGGACATATGGAATTATTGGTACCATTCTAAAGCTTGTTTATTTTAATTGCTTTTGGTGAAAAAAATGCCTATATATCCTCCATAGAAGACAGAAGGTAAGGGCGTCTGGTGTCTGAGGTAAAATTAGCTAGAAAATATGGCCTCTAAAGTTTGGTGATTTCCTAAGCTTGAGAGACCTTGAAAATTGCAAATTTACATTTTTTGTGCCTCTAATCAATGTTTTTCAATAAAATCTACACAGAAATGTGTTTTTACACGGACAAAAAAAGTTGTTGAGCTGAAAAATAAAAACAGAAATTGCCCAAACAGATAGAAATTGCCCAATGGACGGGAAAATGCATACTTCTTTGATTCCATTATTTTGACAAGCACCTGATTTTGACAAGCACTTAATTTCACCACGATGCCTAACTTAAATTGGAAAATTATCAAAAACTGTAAAGCCATTTCCATAAAACCTGTTTCAATACGTTTCCAGCGACAATCTATATATATGAATGATAACAAATAAATTCTTCAAAAGATCAGCATGAACAATAAAGATAGAGACAGAGCAGGCTGGCTGAAAGGACACAGAAGAAGAAGAGCAAAAAAGGCATAAAAGTCATGGACATACCGGTACCGTCAATCTGTGCTGAGTTATTGTCCCTGTAGTCTCCCTTTTGTAATCCTGAGCTTTAGGAATGTGAGAGACACCCCTTCCTGATCTCAGAGTCTGGTGACATACACATACACAACATTAAAGTAAAAGCTTGCTTTCAAAGAGAAACTACTGATAGAACCCTGGACGTATAAAATGTTCGAGAAATGACAAAAAGATTAGAGCCCATTGACATCCAGATTTCTAATTTCCCTGCCCTCTGAAAGTTTGTCACCAACAGAGCTGCAGCAAACAGTATAAGAATATAAAAAATGTAGAATTAGGTACAACAAGACAAAAGAAGCAGGATGTTTTCAGAATTTTTCAATTTGTTGTTATAGATCCAGAATTGTTCAATTTGAGAAGGATTTTGTCCAGGGGCCTGCGTTGAAAAGTTCATGAAACCTGTTTCCTCTCCTGCACGAAGTTAAGATTTCTTGTTTGTTGACCACATACTGGGATGGTTCCAAACACTTTTCATTTATGTTGTTGCTGTTGTTGTTATCGATCCAGCAACAGCTGGGCTCTCACCCTTCTGTCCAGAGCCATGTAGTTCACTTATAACAGACAAGTTCAATAGTCTTTCAAAAGCATAGTTCCAGGCATTTCATTTCTTAATTTGAAATGAAAAATGCTGTCAAACCTACATGAACCATAACTTCCAAACAGGTCCAATGAAATTTGAAGTGTAAACAAGAACCCTTACATCTTACAATCTCAAGGCTCGCAAAAGCTAACAACATCTCATAGTGTCCCTGGCTAGTCTTTTGACATAGAGGTGTAGGAAACCTCTGGTTCACGGCAAGAGAAAATATGAGTGTGGTGTAATTTCTCCTCACTGAGACTGCTCCAAAGGAACGACCTCTATCAAATATGTCAACATGATGTAAACTTGCCAGCCACTATGAGAGTCCATTTTACTAGTACAAATCATCTTTGCAGCTGGTGCTTAAATATCAGGTGACTGAGCATTCATGAGTTGCATATAAACAGACGTATAATCAATGGATCAAACTTCATCAATTAGAGGAAAGTATTGCCATCAGTAAGTAAAGTAGGGCAACCGACAGACAGGTAGATCTTGTTCACTAAACACAAAAATTCTTTTCTGACTCACACAAAAAAGCACTTCACTTTTTTAGTCTCTGCATAATCCACTTGATCTTGGTTGATCTGACATACCTGAATCTAACCAAGCTGGTTTGGTGTAAAGCAACACATTGGCATGTGATCATCGTTAATTCATCCTCTTTTGAGGCATCCGAATCTCCTGATTACAAATGACTTCAAAGTGAGTCGGAGGATGTATATTTGTAACACACAAAATTTCCTGGCAAAAGAAAGCATGATATAAGCAAGGGGACTACTTATGAAAGGGAAAGGAACAAGAAATATAAGATTAGTTACAGATCTACATACATAGGTTCTTAAAGTTCCTTCTTTTTTGTCCTTGGAACTTTTCCTGGGTTTTCCATCATTGCATTTTCCTTGCTGATCCTAGATGAAAAAAAATGAATTGTTAAAACAAAACCAATTGTTGCACCTTACAACTTTCAGTAACAAGACCATAAAAGGAAAATGGTGTGGGGGGGGGGTCTGCTCTATTCATTCCTATACCGTATTAATACACTATATAAATAACTACGCTATGTTGTAGTCTCTCATCTGAGTGGATGGAAATTAATGCCACACGCATGTTACAATAGTGAAGAAGGTCATCTCCAGTGGATCAGAGCACGAACATATTCATACTTGCTTCCAATCTTGACTTCAATAATTCAATCTCTCCAGTAAACACCACTCATTAATTCAAAAATGACACTACCTTTCATCTCATTTTGGAACGACAGACTACAGTGGAAACCTGATATAACAGGGATTGTGAGACCAGAGAAAAAGTCCTGTTAGATTGGATCCCTCTCAGAAATGCAAAGGAAGTAAGCATTTGTGGACTAATCCAGCAGTATTTATTCATGGGTAGTTTCCCTTGCCGCAAGTACCATGTGGCAGGCCCGTTCAAGACACATTACGCATGCGTGTAGCTAAGCTTAGGGCTAGATCAAGGTCTGCAGGACACCGCAGCCCTCTCTCACTTCACCCGCTGCGTGTGCTTGCAGTGGCGTGACTTGCGTGGGCTTGCTCCATCACTGTGTTATTCTCTCTTCTTTTTACACATTGTTAATGAGCCTTTGTCCCTGCTATAACCGATAGAGCTCCGATGAGGCCCTGTTATTGCCGGTAACTTTTAATAGAGACAAATGAGTAGGAAAAAACGGGGATTTAAAAAATCCGTCATTACCGGATCCCCGCTATTTCCAGGCCTGTTATATATATATGGTTTCCACTGTACTTTAATTACTATTAGGTCTCTGAACGTGATGCACGATTTGCCTTGCTTTCTGGGGTCTCTTTGAGGCCTCCATTGGTAAACTTACTTAACCTACTTGCAGTTCTATGATCTCTACTCTCCATGGGGCCAACATGAGGGTAGTGATGACTTAATGCACAATTTCAACTTATTTTCAGAAGGAAGACCTCAATTAAACTTAAACCTTTCCCATTTTCTGTGCAATCATAAACTTTCAGGGAAAATGTGTTATCTTCTTTGGACCTGGTATATAGCTAGTGTGCATGGGCTTGAGTGACAAGGTGGTGTGGGTTTGTTGATGTTGACCATGTGTGAGGATTACTAATTAGAAGAAGATTTATAACTTTTAATTGTAGGTTTGACTACAGGAATTATGTGTCAAGTCATGAAAAAAAAGATCTGACATAACAACAAAGAGTATTAAGTCCTCTCAATTCTATCTCTCTTCAATCGGAAATAAAAATATGCATAATTTCTACTATGCTGGCTATGAGGAGCCCTGTCCAGTCTAAATAAAGCACAGTATTTCAGTCTGCACCAAAGAACCACTTGACATCCTCACACTATCACCCCAGCAGTATATTGTACAGTGGGAGTCGCATTCAACGAGGTCCCATTCAACAAGAAGTCGGCTTCAACGAGGCAATCCTTAATCCCCGATTTTTTCCTCTAAATATATCTTTGTAAATGAACGTCAGCTCCAACGAGGTTGGAAACAGACTAAAGTCACTTTCAATTTCAACGAGGTTGAGATAACTAAATAAAAGCAATTAATGGCCCCAAAAGCAAAGAATTTTTCTCCTTTCTTTCCATCTCATGAGAAGCACAAGGCCCATCCTCCATTCCTAACACTTTGTATTGCTAGATCTAGTGTGCCTCGTAATATGGGCCACAAAGCCAAGAGGACAGGCGAGGGTTGGCTGGCCTACGGTAGGGATGGGAGAGGGTGGGTGGGAACACAATGTGGGCTGTGTGAAACTGGATGAACTCTGGATGGGAAGGTCTAGATCGAGACCTTCATTTTTTACAATTTTCTTTTCTTCCCCCGATCAGAAAATCCAAGCTCCCGCCTTTACTTTTTGTAGATATCTAGATCTAGGCCTAGATGTGAGAGGGTATGTTTCCACACGAGAAGTGTTCCGGAAAAAAATAATTTTTTAATGCAGAAATGACAGTGAGAACACAGCTCAAACATGCGCACACTGTTTGAGAATTTCGTCATCAGGGAGAACAACTGTTTTAATTACTGGTATTGGTACATAGTGTAGTATAATAGCTTGTCTCCTTTCTTTTGTTTAGCCTTAGTCACGTTCAACAAGAGGTCAGATCCAACGATGACAACAAGCCGGTCTCGGCAACCTCGTTGAATGTGACACCCACTGTAGTTAACTGATTTCATGCAGTGCCTATAAGTCAAGCAAATTTCACCTTCCTTGAATTAAGTGTGTCCTGCAGAGAGGTGGAAGGAGAGACTGAAATCCATTTACTGAAAACAATGCAAAAGATGAACCAAAAGTTTCAATAATTTTATCGAGAAGTCATTCAGTAAAAAGTATCCCCCAAAAATTGCACTTTTTGCATTGTATAACACTTTTTTGTTTTGTAAACTAATCTATTCCGTCTGCCCAAGGCACTCTCTAAATAACACTTTTCAAAATTAAAATTATAACAATCTTTACAGCAATGGTAAATACAGCCAGTGCCTATTTTTAGTTCCATTGAAAATACACTATAGGCCTACGTTACTTGTTACCTAAATTGGTTGGTACTCCCATGACAAAGATCAATACATTTTAATTTCAGTTATAAAATGCATACTGCATTTATCTATAAAAGCTGCTTTTAGCGAGGTTGAACAGGTAAAGATTAAAATTAACAGTAGCAGACACTTTGACGATAAAAATATTTCCTTATTGGACAAGTCTGAGCAGCATAATTTTAAAAATAAGTCCAATATTATTAAGATTATTTATAAAATCAAGAACATGATCTTACCTGAACCTGAACCAAATGTTGAGACATCTGATTTCTTTCAGATCTTGTCTTCCTTTTTCGCTTTCTTTTACTTTTTCGGCAGGAATCAGTCCCATTCATCATCCATCTATCTGTAAGTTGAAAGTTTACATCTTTAAAAGTAGTGAATTTAACATAGCATATCGGTGCTGAGTAGTATAAATGAATATAACTGAGAACAATGATAGACTGAAGGAGGAAAACATCCGTACCCCCAAAAATGTGAAGAACAGCAACACATACAGAAAAAAAGATTATCTTGGACATCTTGGTCAAAGGTAACCTCATTGTCATCTTCTTCATCCCCATATAATTATCATATTATGTACGATGGCTTACCTCAAAAGAAAAGAAAGAGGAAAATAGCCATAGACCAATTTCAAAATATTACTTGGTAAAGTAAAATGCTGTGGAATCAGGCACTCATCAATTTTTGGGCACGGTGTTATTGGTATCGACTTAAAGCTTTTTTTATTTTTGCTTTTGATGAAAGAAATACCTATCTATCTTGAACAGAAGTCTGAAGTCAAGTAGAGATATTTTTGTGATTGAATGTGAGATTTTAAAAAGGTGGGGTTCGCCTAGTTTCAGAGATTAAATTAGCGAGAAAAGGGTTGCCAAAGTTCAGTAACTTCCATGGCTTGAAAGTCCTTGGAAACAGAAAATCTGCATTTTTTAAAATGCCTAAACCAATGTTTTTCAGTAAAATCCACACCAAAATATGTTTTTAATTGGACATATAAAGTGTCGAAGTTGAACCAAAAAACTAAAATTTGATCATAAGAATTGCCAAATCGGCGGAAAAACGGTTTCTTCGATTTCATTATTTTCACAGATGAGCACTAGATTTCACATCTCACAAATCATTTAGTGACTTAAAATTTTCATAAAGTTCAACATATTTTTTTCAGTAGCTCATCAGGGGATATATCTCTCCCTTGAAAAAGTTCTGGTCAAGAAAATAAAGTCAATTTGCGAACTATGATACCCTTTCCTGTTTAATTAATGTCACTTTTTTAGGAGGGGTCCTAAAAGATAAAGGTATGAAAGAGCAAGATCAAGTTTAATTGGAAAATACAGCAGCATATTAACTTCCAGTTGTGCCCACTATGCATCCACTCTTGGTTCAGATTCATCATGTAAGAAGAGGCGTAATCGTGTTGGAGAGTAACGTCCGTACTCAGATATATAAGTATCTTTTGATCAGTAGCCATTGCAAGAGACCCATCAAGCCAGTATATTTTATGATACCCCAGCTGCTCCATAATGAATGATTCATTTCGGAAGGCCCAAAGCCATAGCAATCTCGCTAACTTTCTGGCACCTATCTTCACTAAAAGCACTTTACTTTAACTCACAGAACGTTGGCTCCTGATTTTGAAACTTGCTGGTGCACTGCATTATTATATATATATGGCTCATCTTCCTCTTTTATCTGTCCCACATTAAACAAATTTGTACCAGTTGTACACTTTCTTTTAGCTCTTTACACTTTCACCACGCACAGCTGTTTTTTTTTTTAGCAATTAAAAATTGAATCATTAATTTTAAACGCACCACTACTTTTGGCTATTCCGTTATACAGGTCACAATTTTTTTAAATTTCACCATAGAGGCATGTATCAGTGCTGCAATCGGTACTTTAGCTAGACAGAATAACTTGTATTGCCTTTTGCATCATGTATGATCATTTGTTATAAAAAAAGCTATAGTAACATTGAATATTTTTAGTTTACTTTTAAACTGCGATCCCCTCTCTGTCTTTACTGGGGCTCTGTTTTTTTAAAGACAATCCTTGCATATATTTCATCCAGGTAGAATTAAAACAAAAACAATATCTACTCTGGCCTAAAGTACCATTTTTCCAATAGGAATATAAATTAAATTAGATGTTTCTGTTTTGTTTTTGCTCTCAAATCTCCGCATATATATATATATATATATATATATCTCATTTGGTTGACCACTACTAAGCAGCTAATCTCTATTCTTGGAAACCATTCCTCTATACACTATACACCACTCAGGACATCCTTGGTTAGATGTGGGGACTCATTTTAAATCTTTCGTACCTACTGAGTTATGAGGACAAAAGGACTAAAAATAAACCCAAAAAATAAAACAACAAATATATGGCCAGAGAAAAACCAGTTGCAGATAACGTCTGGTATGGCAGACTGCAGCAAAAATACCTGAGTGCAGCTGTTTGAGTGGCCGACACTCAGTGACACAGCGGCCATTACACTATGATTTGAACGTAGGTAGGAGTTGCCTAAACTCTACCACAAATAAAGAAGTAAAAAGGGGGTAGCAATATAGATCAGACTTTATACTCTCATTTAGAACTCAAAAATGCATCACAAGAGGAGTGAGGACTTAATCATGACATTTTGGAAGGAAAAAAAAGAGCCCCCCCCCCCCCCACCCCCAACATCCCTTTGATCCCTCCTCCCTCCATCTTTCTCTCTTTGCTAAAAAAAGATGGGAGCATAAAATCCGGTTTTGACTCTTAGAGTACAGGAATATATAGATAGACTTTAACTTTAATACTAATAATACTCAGAATCAATGTTTTATCCAAAAGAGAGCAAGAGGTGACTCGTCTGCAGTTCTTTCACCCAGCAGAGTGGGCAAATACAAGCCCAGGATTGGCCGTCTCTAAAGAGAGTTCTAGGATTCACAGGAGTACAAGTTGCTTCTGGCGTCGCACCGGTCAATAGAACAATGGCTATTCTCCAGTGTCACGCATAGTTGCACATGTCGCTTCTCCACAGCTTTCCATCTCTCCTGTCAGCACGTTAAGGCCATTATGGATGCAGCTGAGTTCAGTGCCAGATGCGCCTTCTCGTACTTCTGGTTGTGACTGAGGGTTGTTGGCGCTTCTGGAGCTGCCACCTCTAACACAGAATTTCCCCCATTCTTCCGTCACTGGAGCTTTCATTGAGTAGTGGCTGCGTGCCCAGCTATGGTGAATTGCATTCTGAAGAAATGTCGACCCTGACTTTTAATCAGTTAGGACCTGAACATCGGAAAGTGGGACAGGGTTTGTTTTGAAAACGGAAGTGATTATCCTCACCCGGGGAGAGAATAAAAATACGATCAACCTCTCACCCCAGCGTTGGCTATTTTCACTCGATATGAAACAAGACCTGTTTTCCTAATTTCGGAATACTGTCTAAGGTGTAGATGATCAAATATAGAGACAAAAACAAAGAAAAAAATGACGTTATAATTCAAACAGTAATAGATCTAGCACAAAAGTAAGCTAATTTGGTTGTCTACAAAGACGCCTAGATCTAGAGTAGCAGCGGGGTTGTGCGAAAGGGGGGTCTGCGAGACAACCCTGTGGTATGAACAAATAAGACAAATTTAAACATGCAAGAGCGTTCCCGCGTTTCTCAACATCCGGCAGCACCCTTTCCTGTAGCATGAGATTATTTGCAGGTCACTGTGGTTGCTTATTGTTCGTACACAGAGGCAAATTATTTCCAGGCTTGCTGATTACGTATTCTAACAGTGCATTCGCGTGTAGTTGTAAGGCTGTCAATGCATTTTATGAAGATGTGTATACTTGCACTACACACAGAACAGTGTGTTGTGCGTATAGCATCAGTACTAAGCAAAGCACGGAGCCGCTCAGCCTCTCTGAGGGGATGGATGGAGGTTGACGCGCAGTGCCGCCATGGCATCTGGTAAGGCGGGGTTTCGCGTCACAGACCTCTGCAGCGAGAACGGGGCAATATTATTGCATCAAGGCCCACACCAGCCACCTGACACAGCCTCTGGACTAGGCGTTTTTCGGGGCCATTATTAAGCCAGCGTGGCAAGAGGGGGTAAGGAAGTTTGTGAGGGACACCACGACACTGAGGACGTTTGCTGGCATCCTGAGTTGAAGGCCTGGACAACAGTAGCTTGGCTAAAACGGCCCTGAGTGGATTCACCAAGTCAGGGCTGTTTCCCTACAACCCTGACGTTGTCCTCACAAAAGACAAGCTGAACCCAGCTGCACCTTCACAGGGTCCCCTGTCCCTACCTTCAACTTGTCATCCACCTCGTCTGCCTCTGCCCCATCCGCCTCTTCTGCCTCTGAACCATCCACGATGTCACAAACTCGCCGTCACCGACTCAAGGAAATACTCTCCTTGAACTTTAGCTTGGGGAGGAGAAGGTGGACTTGTACCTCAAAAGGTATGACAATGGATACGATCTCAAGATCGACCCCGACTACAACATGTGGTCCAGCTCCTCCGCTCCCCCAGCCATCAGCAAGAGCCCTGGAACCTCAGCACCCCTCCGGGGAGATGACTATCGACAAGGTGCTCACTTTTCCGTCCTGTTCAAAGAACAAGGCCGTTAGAAGGCTCCAGCCAACAGTGCCCCGGTCCATCAGTGGGAAAATGACTATAAAGAGATGATACTCACGAAGAAGAAGAAGGCGGAAGAAGAACAGCAGAAGGAAGAGAGGAAGAAGCAAAGGGAGAAGAGAAAGATGGAACGGCTAGCACAAGCTGAAGACAAGAAGGAAAGCCAAAAAGAGAAGAAAAAACAAAAGGAGCAGGCAAAGAAGGAAAAAGAGGAGGAGAAGAAAAGAAGAATTCAAGAGAAGAAGATGAATGCTTTGGTTGTGGCCTCACAGAAGAAGAAAGAGGAGGAAGATTCCTCTGACTCAGGTGAAGAGCCGGTGTATGACGACAGCTCCGACAATTGTGGGGACATTACAGTCAACTGTGCTGGGTGTGGAGCCACCACCGCAGGACAGGTAGTGCTCACCCAGTGCATGCTTTGTGACAAGTGGTGGCACACCAACTGTGTCAAACAGATGGACCTGAAGGACAAGACTCAGGAAAACCTGGATGCCATGGACATCGAGCTCTTTTGCTGTGCTGACTAATCTCTCCTTCCCAATTTGTTCATACAAATAGTGTAAACAATATCTTTGTTTATCCATGTGCAATTAGATCCACATGTCTCTACTTTGCTGTTCTTATATAATTTAATTCATGGTATTCAGAGTTATCTTGACTCACTAATAGATTACTGTTTCCATTGTAAGTGTTGGCTTCAGTTATTTTTTGTTTTCTTTCTCTTTTGGCTATGCATAAAAACTGAGTGTCTTTTGTAACTCTTAACTCTTGTGCAATTTGTAAGAATATTTCTTGCTTTATGGTTAGAAAATCATACTTTAGCCTATAATAACATTCATAATAATAAGTTATTAGGACATGTTGCAAGACCCGCCCTATACTAGCGCGCAGCCCCTCCGTAAAACGCACCACCCTCAAGCAGGAACGCTCATCCCGGCTCATTGTCGCACACATCCGTCCTCACTTTGCCTCACAAATGCCACTACTGAGGGAGACAGGCAAACAAAGCCGGCAAAGCGTGCTGGGCCGACGATAGCAGATGAAATTTGCTTCTCATCAGTTATTGTGCGGTCACCTCCCCTTTCTCCGGGGACTCGCAAGGTCACTTTTTATGCTTAGGGTAGCGCAGACTACCTCCTCTACTCTATATGGCCTTTTCACTTTTCGAATTGAGCCGAATAACACGGGTCGCCATTTTGTTTCGCCTGTAAGTTCTCGCAAGACCTTCTCCCCTCTCTCTCTTGCACTCTCTTTCTGAATACCGTCTATCGGTGGGGACGATCAAATTGACAAAACAAAGATAAAAAATGATGTTAAAATCCAAAAGGGGAGGACTTCCATAACGAGCGACCACCCCATCAAACACAATAAAGAAGAGGCCTTAGAACCCTAACCCTACCCCCTGCCCTAGATCTAGCTCTCAATTCGGGAGGACTTCCGCAACAACGAGCGACCACTATGAGACAGAGCAGAATTGAGGGCTAGGGGTAGGGGTAGATGTAGGGGTAGGGGTAGGGGTAGGGTTAGGGTTAGGGTTAGGGTTAGGGTTAGGGTGAGGTCTTCCGTAACGAGTGACCACTATGAGACAGAGCAGAATTGAGGGCTTGGGGTAGGGGTAGGGGTTAGGGTTAGGGTTAGGGTTAGGTCTAGGCCTCTTCTTTATTGTGTTTGATGGGGTGGTCGCTCGTTACGGAAGTCCTTCCGGGTTAGGGTTAGGGCTAGGGTTAGGCCTTTTCTTTATTTGTGTTTGATGGGGTGGTCGCTCATTACGGAACCCGGGCAGTCCTTCCCTCAATTCTGCTGTCTCACAGTGGTCGCTCGTTACGGAAGTCCTCCCCGCAAAAGTTTAGTAAGCCTAGATCTAAATCAATTTGGTCATCTACAAAGATGCTTCGGCTATTGTCGCCATTTTGTTTTGCCCGGAAGTTCTCTACTCCTCTCCCTCCCCCCCAAAAAAAATTGCACGCTTTCAATACAAGAGCGCTGGAACGTTTGTTTACGGTGAATGCTGCTTTGGTTGGCCTATCACGGTGAAGGCACACCGGGTGAGAATAGATCTAGCCAAAAGGCCCGCTTGTGCTATTCTCAGACTCAAGTGGCCTTTGAAAACTAAACCTACACACCCTTCCCAACCCCAGTGCGAAATTGAAGGAAATTTCTTGCACTCCTTCCCCAAGTTCGTCAGATATATAAACACTACAGTATAATTAATAAACAGCATTTGTCTGAAGTTACCAAAACCACATGACAATTTTCGAAACTGCCTTTTCAGCACAGTCCAAACGCTGCCGCCATTACCAACTTTCGTTTCGTAATCGTCGAACGATAATGTAAAAAGTAAAAAGGGCATATATCGATATTTTACAATGCATCACCAAAAAAATACGAATAAAGCCTCCTCAGAGTGGTTAAACAATACCAATGATAGTACATAACAAGATGGGCCACTTCTCTCTTTGAGCCAATTAAAAAAGTGTCCTCAAAATTTGGTGGCGCCCTCTTCACAAAAGCGCACTCTTTGCGAACAGAGTTACCCTACTTGAGTTTTTTAAAATCAAAGTGAAACTAGCAAGTTTTGGGATAAATTTCGGAAGAACGCTTTTTAAAAATGGTTACGCTGACAAAAAACCTCTTCCGGAGGAAAGGGTGATTGTTTTCTTCGTTTAAATTGACTTTAGAATGAAAGGCGAGAGGTCATTAAAGTATAAATAACCTAAAACTCTGCACTGAACGAACTCGAACTGCTGATGAACAGCAGTCGATCTGCGCACGCAAGGAGGTGCTATTCCTATTCTTCTTCTGGAAAAACGAAAGAGAGCTTCAAAACAGACTGCAGCGCCATCTGAAGCAAAGAGCATACTTCCTGCGGACACTTTTTAGGCTGAGTGACCCATCTTGTCTTGTACTATCTTTGACAATACATGTAGTATTATTATAGGCCTATTACAGTATTATTGCTCAAGTATTAGGCTACGGATACTGTCGGATACACACTTTTAACTTTGCTGTCGCACATAGGAGATCTGAGTGTGGAGACAATTTTTAAGAACACATAGAAAGAAATTCTGTCTATTTCTATCCCCCTCCCTCCATTCCATCGCTCTGATCTCTCTCTCTCTCTCTCTCTCTCTCTCTCTCTCTCTCTCTCTCTCTCTCTCTCTCTCTCTCTCTCTCTCTCTCTCTCTCTCTCTCTCTCTCTCTCTCTCTCTCTCTCTCTCTCTCTCTCTCTCTCTCTCTCCCTGAGAGTAATTATAGTAAGAATAATAATAATAATAATAATAATAATAATAATAATAATAATAATAACAACAACAACAATAATAATAGTGTGCCTATTTTAAATAATGAAAATAAAGCTCACGAAAAAAAAAACCCAACAAGTTAACAATAATTATATAAAAACATACACAAACACATTATATTATCATTTAACTAGTTGTAATAACATTAAACAGCACACTTTAAAAAAAATGTTTTTTAGATTTTCGGTTATTCTTACTCATACTCATACTTTAATTTACGATGAACTAACTTCTAGATACTTCATGCCATCCCATCCCCTTCTATTTGTAGATTTCAGGCAATTATCATTATGCATTTCACGTGTTGGCTCTGACCAGATGAGTAGGCCTATTTAATTTCCAATTTGGATTTGCACACACACACACACACACACACACACACACACACACACACACACATACACACACGCGGACACACACACACACACACACACACACACACACACACACACACACACACACACACACGGCGATACACGTGCATGCAGAGAGAGAGAGAGAGAGAGAGAGACAGACAGACAGACAGACAGAGATACACACACAGACTGTCTCACGGACAGACGGACAGACACACAGACAGACAGAGAGAGAGAGAGAGAGAGAGAGAGAGAGAGAGAGAGAGAGAGAGAGAGAGAGAGAGAGAGAGAGAGAGGAGACAGATTGAGAGAGGGGGGGGGGACTCAGCTCTAAATTACCGACGATAGTTCACTAACAAAAAGTCAATATCAAAACACAGATAGCATAGCCGATCATTTCCCTTGGTGTTAGGCAGTCGGGGCTATTTAACAAAGGACAACATAATTAAACCCCCGTAAGGTCTGTACTGCCAACTTCATTCTTGTCTCAAAGTAGGCAGTTTAATAAAGAGGTTTGACTGCATATTTATATCGCAATAGTGCTTACTTACTTACTACCCAGTACGCCATCTGGCGTTTAGGGCAACAACATAGGATCTCTCGCTCTGTCTGTTTTGGGCCATCTTGGTCTACGTTCCCCACGAATGATTCCAGGATTTCATTTCAGGCCAAGGAGATTAAAGGTGAGTTCTAAACTCCTTCTTTCAGACTCAACTCTGTGCGTCTCCAGGTCACTTTGGGTCTGCCCCTTTTGCTACGTCCTTCGGGTGTCTAGTGGAGGGCAGTCTTCACAATAGAGTCTGGTTCTCTTCTCAGATCATGTCCAATCCATCTCTATCTTCTCCTTTTTATTACCGGTATGGTGGTCATGTCCTCTTGCCTACATTTACATAACAGATCTGCGTTGGAACTTGTCGTGCCAGAAGATCCTGAGGATTTGGCGTAAGCTGGTTGTATGAAAGGAAGATAGCTTGGCACGGTCATGATCAGTCATCCTCCAGCATTCAGCTCCATATAGGAGTGTGGATAGTACACAGCTGTTATACAGCTTTAGCTTGGTTTGTATACTAAACAGTCCTGACTTCCAGATGTTGACCATGCTTTTGTGTACATGTAGGCCTACAGATCTTGCCTTGCTGAGTCTGTCCATGATGTCTTCCTTTGTGCCGCCGTCAGTTTTGATTATGCTGCCTAGGTAGATAAATGTGTCTGTTATATAGGGAGGTCCCTGTTGTTCACCCTAATCGCGTTGGAGAGCCTACATTCAGTGTCATCACTTCTGTCTTTTTCTGGCTTTTTTATTCTTAACCCAATCTGTCGTCCGTATTTGTAGAGTCGGTTTGTTTTTTCCTGCATGTGCTGGTTGGTATGGGAGAGCCGCGCAGTGCAAGGTCGTCGGCAAAGTCAAGATCCTCGAGGGTGGAGAAGAGGGTTCACCTTATGCCTGATGTATCCTCAGTATCATCATCATCATCATCATCATCATCATTATTATTAT